TAGAAATGTGTGGCCGCACTATAGACGAACGTCGTCTATTTCAGACAGTCGAACTCAGTGGACGAGAAAGCAGTCGAATCAGATAAGGTGGCTTGTCCATGCCTTATATTCGACATATGATATCGTGATACAAAAGGATCATCAACCGAAATCATCACTGGCGTTCGTAAGATCACGAACAAACTCTATTCGAGATAGGTAGTCATAGTGTTTTGTTAGAGACCGCCTATGACTTGTATATCCGGAATAGAGATTTCGGGTTATACTACTATATCGAGTGAGCCTACAGGGTCACACACGCAGGGAAGGACAAATGCACGAGAAAACGTCGAGAAATCTGGACAAGAGGTCCGGACCGTCCGGTCTAGGAGTAGACCGAACGGACCGGACCATCTAGTCCGAACGGACCAAATTGTTGGACCGAACGGACTAGAGAGTTCAGTCCGAACGGACCAAGTGTTGGACCGAACGGACTGACCCGTCAGTTCGAACGGACCCAGTTATGAAACTGGTCTGAACGAACCAAGTGTCCAGACCGAACGGACTACTAAGCAGTTCGTTCGGTCTGGGGTTCAGATTTAATTTTAAAGTCTGGATCTAGGGTTAATCACTTGAATAAGAGGAGAAATAGAACCCTAACACTAAGTGGCCGACCAAGAGAACTTTTCAGACCTTTTTAGAGAGTCCAGAGGGTTGAAGAAGTGATCTTAATCTCTCTTTCTCAAAGCACATCATCGAATAGAAGAATCGTGTCCTAGCAGACAAGTTCCAAAGGTTGGAATCCATCCCGAAGTGTGGATACGTGTAGAGGGCGAGGTATTCTTCCTGCCTATAGTGATCGGACGAACACATCAATTGAAACAGGCCCCAGATCGATTGAGGTAAGCGTTCTAACGTTTCTACAAGATCATGCCTGATAGGTTTTAGGGTTTTATCAAATTTTTGTTTTACATCCGCTGCGCAAACCCTAGAACCGATCTCTTAGGAATAGGATTCGCTCATGAGATCCCAGAAAAACCCAACATTGTCCACAAAACCGGCCACACCACAATCTCATCTTCATCCCGACCTCTCTCTTTACGCAACGTTCTTGTCACCACGTCTAACCTAGTCTCGGTGAGACAAGTTACGTGTGACAATAATTGTTCCATTGAGTTTGACCCTTTTGGTTTTTCTGTTAAGGATCGTCCAACACAATGGACTCTTCTCCGATGTGATAGCACCAGCCCCTTGTACTCACTCACGCATCCGACACCGACCGCATCCCAACCTACCTACCACCGCGCTCATCACCACACAACCAACCATATGGCATCGTCGTTTGGGTCACCCGAACAAATATGTTTTCCATTCTTTGCTTTCTGCAGGTTTAATTCGTTGTAATAAGCCAAACATGTCTTCAACTTGTGAAGCATGTCACCTTGGCAAAAGTACTCGACTTCCTTTTTATCGATCAAACTCATTTGTTTCATGTCCATTTCAAATAATCCATTCCGATATTTGGACCTCACCTCTCTCTAGTTACGTGATATTCGTTATTATGTGGTTTTCCTTGATCATTTTACTCAATTCTTATGGGTTTATCCACTCCGACGTAAGAGTGACGTGTTCTCTAAGTTTTTACATTTCCACTCTTATATCAAGAATCAATTTCACACAAACATCCAATCGTGTCAATGTGATCACGGGGTGAGTACGACAATCATAATTTCCAATGATAAACATGGTATTATAACTCGATTCTCTTGTTCACAAACTTCCCAACAAAATGGGAAATCCGAACGAGTTATTCACACCATAAACAACCTTGTTCGAACTCTTCTCTTTCAAGCGAACCTCCCCCTCCCCCCAGTTATTCACACCATAAACAACCTTGTTCGAACTCTTCTCTTTCAAGCGAACCCCCCCCCCCCCCCCCCCCACGTTTTGAGTCGAAGCACTCCACATAAGTGTTCATCTTCTCAATCTCCTACCATCTACTGCAATTGATAACCACATACTATACACAGCTTTTTACCAAACCAATATCATACGAACATTTGCGAGTGTTCGGATGTCTTTGCTATCCTAACCTTAGCTCTACCGCACCACACAAATTATATCCTCGTTCCACTCCTTCCATCTTCCTTGGCTGCCCTTCTCATCATCGTGGCTACCGCTGTTTTGATCTCAAAACTCGGAAAATTATTATATCGCGCCACGTTTCTTTTGATGAGAATGTCTTTCCATTCTCTCAAGAACAACACCATCGACCGTCATCTTATACATTTCTAGATCACGATTCGGATTGTGCCTCTTTCTTTCGATCTCTTCGACAGTTGCCCGTCGACCCATCGACCGTGCCATCTCCTCATCATGAACCTCCACCATCACCATCGACCACCATAGTCACTGAGCCACCATCATCAAATATACCACCACAACCTTCTGTACCTTCTTCAAACCAACAACACCCCATGTAAACTCGTAGCAAAGCCGGCATTACCAAACGCAAACAAATCTTTTCCCTACTCACTGATCAAATATCCCCACTGCCCAAATCTCACCTTTTAGCACTAAAGAACCATCATTGGCGAACGATAATGGTTGATGAATATAATGCTCTTACTAAAAACGGGATGTGGGACTTGGTTCCCCGACCCCCCGGGGTTAATGTGGTTCGTTCTATGTGGTTTTTCAGCATAAATTCAATGCGGATGACACTCATGCTCATTATAAGGTGAGACTCGTGGCGAATGGAAAATCTCAACAACCCGGTCCTTGATTGCGGAGACATGTTCAGCCCGGTGGTTAAGCCCACGACGATTCGTATAGTCCTAAGTTATGCCTTGACTCATCAATGGACAATTCATCAACTCGATGTCAATAACGCATTCTTACACGGTAATCTAACTGAGACGGTCTACATACACCAACCACCGGGTTTCATGGACAAAGACAATCCAAACCACGTTTGTGTGTTGCGGCGTGGAGCTTGTTTCATCGATTCGTGACATTCGCAACAAAGATCGACTTTGTTCATAGCAAATCGGATCAATCTCTCTTCATCATGCATAAGCCTGATGGTATGGCATTTCTACTTCTCTACGTCGACGACATTATCCTCACAGCATCCTCTCCGGCGCTGCTACAACGGATAATACAATCCTTAAACGGGGAATTCACGATGACGGATCTCGGCAAGCTACACTACTTTCTTGGCGTGCAAGCAACCGATAACAAGGAAGGGTTGTTCCTTTGCCAAACCCAATACGCAGTTGATATTCTACACCGAGCAAACATGGAGATGTGCAGTCCGTGTCTAACACCTGCCGACACAAAATCCAAACTATCTGCCGAAGTTGGAGAACCAGTGGCTGATCCGACACTTTACCGAAGCCTAGCCGGAGCACTGCAGTATTTAACATTCACGAGACCGGACATCTCATATGTTGTCCAGCAGATTTGTTTGTTCATGCATGATCCGAGGGAGCCACACTTTAACGCTCTCAAACGAATTCTCAGGTATGTCCGCGACACTCTGTCACATGGACTACAACTATATCATTCTTCTCCTTTGTAGCTCATCGCATACTCCGATGCCGATTGGGTTAGTTGCCCCAGCACACGACGTTCCAAATCTATTGCATTTTCCTTGGCAACAGCTTGATTTCATGGTCCTCTAAACGTCAACGAACGACATCGCGTTCTAGCGCGGAAGCTGAATATAGAGTCGTGGCTAATGCAGTAGCCGAAACGTGTTGGCTTCGCAACCTTTTGCTTGAGCTCCAATGTCCTCTTACACACTCGACAGTAGTCTTCTGTGACAACATTAGCGCCGTCTACATGACCGCCAATCCCGTGCAACACCAACGCACGAAGCATATCGAGATTGATATTCATCTTGTTCGAGAGAAGGTGGCATTGGGTCACGTACACGTCCTCCATGTCCCGTCTTCCTCACAGTTTGCGGACATATTCACCAAAGGACTATCGACGTCACTGTTCTTAGACTTCTAATCCAGTCTGAGCATCCGCACTCCTCCCTCTCCGGCTGCGGGGATGTGATAGCGGATATTAAGGGATTAATCGAAGATATTATGCAATCTCTGATTATATTCCCTTATATGTATTGTTACCCTATTATGGTTGCTGTATATATACTATGGAGAAATGATAATAAAACCCTACGAGAGTTTTACCAAGTTTCATCAACAAGATTTTATCTCTATAGAGGAAACTTTAGCTATAATACCATATTGAGAATCACAATTTGAAATATTTTATACACAAGAGATTAAAGAGGGAAATTGAAATTCGAATACAAATTCAAATATTTAAAACCTAGCAAATTTGAAACAAGCAATATTCTCTAATAATGAATAATAGACTTGTTACTCCTGCAAAGTGCAAAAGGTGTGTTGTTCGAACGCATCGACCACTTGTTGAATAGATAATATTAGAATTATTAGAATATAACTACGGTTAAATGTTAGTTTGGTTAGGTTAGTTTAGTCTGGTTAGGGTTTAGTGGTTGTTCTTCCCATTATATTTAAGCAGTCTTTGATCAATGGCGAAAGATAGCAAACATTTTCCAGAAACTATCTCTCTTTGGTTTCTAATATCAAAAGATAAGTTATTTTTTCGTTTGAGTTTATATTTTCCAAATTTCGATTCAATTGAATCGATGCTCCTTAATAGAGAAATATTTTTCTATTATTGATGAATGAAGATTACACCCTATTATATAGCAAAATACAATAGAATATTCTAGATATAATATCTAGGGTAAATCATAACTATATTAATGATAATATTGTAGGAATAATATCTTCTTATACTCCTCAACTTTCTCTATCGATTTTTTGCTTCACTTCCACTTAACAATTCTGCAAATTTGTAACTATCTGAAATCGCTCAATTTTTCTTGTAACAACAAGGAAGATATTTGATTTTTACTAAAATCTCTATAATAGAAACAAAGTGCATTTCTGTTTCAACTCTAATTTCGAATTTAAATTATTAATCTATACATATATGCATGCCAACCCAAAAAACAATTGTTAATGGGACAATAATTGTAATATATATAATAAAATTAATAAAAATATATTATAAAAAATGTTTATATTTTACCGTTGAATTATAATTCTTAATTTTTTAAATCTATCCATAAGAACTTTATTTATAACTGTTTAAAATATTTATTTTTAGATGAAATAAATTAATAACTATTCAAAAATTGATCACCAAGGTTGTGTTAAACTGAATTCATAAAATTTGTTAGTGAAAAATATATGTAGTCGTAGTAGCAACATATAAAATCAATCATTTCATAAATCAAATTAGTCTAAATTAAATCGTTTCAATTTATTTTCTATTATTTTTTGTTAAGTCATTATCATATAATTGACAGAACTCTCTAATATTTATTTAAAATACCAAAGCAAATCAACCAAATCAATTTATCTATTGTTTTTTTATCAAATCAATTTGTGAGTACCATCAAAATATAAAAATTAATGAATAAATAAAAAACAGAATTACTTAAAAGACATAAAACTTAATGATTTTTAATTTATTTTTATAATATTATATCTATACATAATAATTTTTAGAATTGAAAGTGATGTAAAGATTAAAAAATAGTTGGAAAATAAAAAATAAAAAAAAAAGAGACAACAGGTGACCTAATTAAAAAAAAAAAGTGGGAAGAGTAACATTTTACCGCATCCTCTTACATTATTTATCAAAAAAAATTAAAAATTATAAATAAATTAAAATTTTTACTGGAGGCATGAGACCCAATTGAACTATATCACTGGAGGTTGGAGGTTAGGGATGAGTTCGAGGTCAGGTTGGTTTTGAATTCGGGTTTGTAGGGTTGAGTTCGGAGATGAGATCAAGGTTATGAAACTGTTGAAATTCCGTTGATATTTTTTCAACGGAAATATCCGTTGAAATTTTTGACGGGCCATTTTTTTAAATGCATCCCCTGTGTCAAAGGACTATCCTTTACAAAAAAGAGAGAAATATATTTGATTGATTGAGTTGAGAGAATGAGTAGTGAATATAAAAATATTAATAGCGAAAAACTCCTAAAAATTTTCAAACTTGCAATTTGGTGATAAAAATATAATTTTTAGTGTGTCTATTGAAAAAAATAACTTAATAATTTATAAAGTTGTTTAAAAGTGTCATGTTGATTATTAACGTAAGTTGATCAAAATAATACTATTATAGAATCCTACGTGGTACGTGAGATATCAAAACACGTCAGAATTTTATACTATAGCGGATTTAATAAACTCGGTTTAACAAAATCCGTTTGAACCGGATTTTATAAATTCACGCGCTATGTGCACACACATATATATCCTATCAGGTATCGTCACCACGTCCCTCTCCCTTTTCGTTCGAAGAACAATCTATGACTATATACATTGTCGATGAGAGATGAGAAAATTAGGTTTTTGTTGTACCGCATTTATTATTATTTCGAACTGATTTTATTAAACCGAGTTTATTAAATTTTGTTCTACATACATAATATAAAATTCTAACATATCTTGATATCTCAGTGTTACGTATGATTTTATAACAATATTATTTTGATCAGTTTATGTTAAGGATCAATATGACATTTTTAAACAACTTTAGAAATTATTAAGTCAATTTTTTTCAAGTTTAGGAATAATTAGACATACTAAAATATATATGAATTATTTTTCCGCCAAATTGGAAGTTTGAAGATTTTTAGGAGTTTTTTTCTGTATAAATATAATTCAATATTTAGGAACCTGGGTTCCTTATAGTGAATGAGTGATACACTTATACGAAAATAATGCTCTTGTTTCTCATTAGTATATGAGAATATTATAGATGAAAAGGGAGAAAAGATGTTCTCTGAAGTTATTTTATTCGAATATGATTTAGTAAAGAGACAAAAATAATTGAGCTGTTACAGAAAACTTGAGACGCATGGACGTTCATGCGAGGAGACGCGGCGGTTGGCAAAGACCACATTTACAAAGAGAACACATAATACAGACAAAAACCAAAGTACTCTAATGTCTTCTCACACGTTCTCGACATGCAAACTCCCTCCTCCTCCATAAATACCCATCAAAGCCTTTCACTCTTCACTCACCAAAACAAAGCATCAAGCACTTCATCACTGCAAAAGATGGCGAAGCTCGCAGTCCTCTTGGCAACTTTTGCCCTCTTCCTCGTCCTGTCTAACGCCTCCATCTTCCGCGCTGAAGTGGAGCTCGACGAAGACGACGTGAACCAGAGAGGCCCACAAGGACGCTGCCAGAGGGAGTTCCAGCAGCAGCAGCAACTCAGGGCTTGCCAACAATGGATCCGCCGACGCGCCCAACGCGGCGGTGGCTGGGCCGATGATGACATCGAGCTTGTATCCGAAGATGATGACGTGAACCAGAGGCCACCAGCCCTCCGACAGTGCTGCAACGAGCTGCGTCAAGTTGACCGCATGTGCGTGTGCCCGGTGATAAGGCACGCGGCCCAGCAGGTGAGGTACCAGGGACAGCACCAGCCGCAGCAGGTGAGACAGATGTTCCAAGCTGCTAGGAACTTACCCAACATCTGCAACATCCCAGTCGGGCAATGCCAGTTCCAGGCTACCCACCAGCCCTCCGACAGTGCTGCAACGAGCTGCGTCAAGTTGACCGCATGTGCGTGTGCCCGGTGATAAGGCACGCGGCCCAGCAGGTGAGGTACCAGGGACAGCACCAGCCGCAGCAGGTGAGACAGATGTTCCAAGCTGCTAGGAACTTACCCAACATCTGCAACATCCCAGTCGGGCAATGCCAGTTCCAGGCTACCCCTTACTAAACCCGAAACGAGCACGCACGTGCATGCATGCGAGCGATTTCAAGGGTTTTGAATTCGGTGTGGAGTTGAGTCATCACACCTAATCGTGTGAGTGGGTGCATGTATTCTGAAGTTAGAAGCTTAATAATGTAACCTGCACTCATCCTTAATAAAATCTTTTAACAACTTCTCTTATTACCCCTTTACGAATTGGCGGAAATACATATTCGCGTTCAATATTATGCATTCAATATACCAAAATTTGATGAAAAATATACCAAAATTTATTTTCCAAAGTGGAAACATATACCTTGCTCCACATATATTATAAAAATGGCCGTACAACGAATTCAGGATACACTTACCTTGTATAGTTATTATACTATAATTAAGACCGGTTATGGTATTTGGTTCGGTTTATAATTATATGAGTTGTATAAACAATAAAAAAATGTTGTTTATTCAACCAGTTTTTTCAATATCATCGACACCTAAAAATCTTCCAAAGATGAATGAACTCAACATGCAATAAGAAACACATATACTTTTGCTGAGTTTCATGTATAATTCATGGTTTAATTAGTTTTTAAATAATACCATGTACATAATCGATGGACAAATTATTCGGGTTAAAATATATTCCGATGCAAACTTTGTACATATTGTTTTGCTATTAAGTTTCTTGAGGTTAAACAAAATAATCTTTTTCGAGGAACAAATTGAGTATTCCATTCGCTCCACAAATCATACGATTGTATTCGTCACATTTGTCGGTCGATGCCAAATGATTAAGGGTTCGACTGGTTGTACCGCATCGGTTGTGGTTGTGGGTGACGATGTTTTCAGAGCGTTTGATAGCGATTATAAATGATACGTACTGATTGGTTGATAAGTTGCTGTTGGCAACGATTGCGGATGGATGCACTTAGAAGTGAATGGTTCGTTGCGGTTGCGGTTGCGTTTTGATATAAATTATAAAAAAAATATTATTTTAAAATAATTTTTTTATAATAATTTTAATTAAATTTTTAATATCATCTGATAAAAATTATTTACTAAATTTATAATAATTAAATAATAAATTTAAAATATAAATATTATCAATTTAATTTATTTTTAAGTAAAAAAATAATTTTATTATAAAAATTATTAAAAATAATCATTATTAAATCTAAAAAGTATACGATTATATATATTTTTATTAAAATATAATACTAAAAAATAATATCAAATCATAACACTAAACAAAATCATCATCAATATATATATATATATATATTAGAGTTTTATATAATTTTTAATGATGATATTTTAGTTTTTTTGTCAAAACGCCGTAAACCACTACCAAAATGCAAGTTAGAAACTGCGATTAGAAAACACAAGTTTGGCTGCGATTCAATCGCTGGAAATCGCAACCGCTCCGTTTGCGGATAACGGCGGTGCAACCAGTCACCCCCATTTTGATCATGGACAATACAAAATTGTAAACATGTAACGTAATATTCCCTAGTATTTCAAAAAAAAAAACTCCATACAAAAAAAAATCAAAATCTCGAAAACTTCAGAGACGAGAACTCTCTCGTACTTGAGAAACTTTAAAAAAAAATCTAAAATTTTAAAACGGTTATACACCACAATCACCTTCGAAGAAAGTTGAGAGGCATCGACAGATAGAAAACGAAAATGTGCCATAAATAAATACGATGTATTGTCGTCATCACTCTCGTCTTCGACCATCATCTTTCACGAAATTTAATACAATCTTAAAAATGCAACCATGTCAAAATTTGCAAAATAATGTCTGAAGTTTTTCATTAAACGAACTAACTATATCCATGAGAATAATGGTGAAATCTTGCAAGATATTTGTGTGTATATCTCTAATACCACTAAAAATCATTCGTTTGTCATAATTTATCAGAATATATATGGTTGATAAAGAGGGAGAAAAGAATGTTTTGTAAAATTATTTTATTCGAATATGATTTGGTAAAGAGACAAAAATGCTTGAGCTGTGACAGATGACTTGAGACGCATGGACGTGCATGCGAGGAAACGCGGCGGTCGGCAAAGACCACATTTACAAAGAGAACACATAATACAGACAGAAGACCAATGCACTCTGATGTCTTCTCACACGTTCTCGACATGCAAACTCCCTCCCCCTCCATAAATACCCACCAAAACCCTTCGCTCTTCACTCACCGAAAACAACTAAACCAAAAGCATCAAACACTTCAACGCTTCAAAAATGGCGAAGCTCGCAGTCCTCTTGGCAACTTTTGCCCTCTTCCTCGTCCTGTCTAACGCCTCCATCTTCCGCGCTGAGGTGGAGCTCGACGAAGACGACGTGAACCAGAGAGGCCCACAAGGACGCTGCCAGAGGGAGTTCCAGCAGCAACAGCAGCTCAGGGCTTGCCAACAGTGGATCCGCCGACGCGCCCAACGCGGCGGGGGCTGGGGCGGTGATGACATCGAGCTTGTATCCGAAGATGATGACGTGAACCAGAGGTCGCCAGCCCTCCGACAGTGCTGCAACGAGCTGCGCCAGGTTGACCGCATGTGCGTGTGCCCAGTGATAAGGCACGCGGCTGAACAGGTGAGATACCAGGGACAACACCAGCCGCAGCAGGTGAGACAGATGTTCCAAGCTGCTAGGAACTTGCCCAACATCTGCAGCATCCCTGTCGGACAATGCCAGTTCGAGGCTACCCCTTACTAGGCGGGAAAAAGATCTATCCTTGTACTAGTTAATAAAAAAAGGCACGGTGTGTGTGTTTGGTTTGATCATGAGAATAAAAGGTTCCTAATAAGTTTGTAAGCAATCACACATTATCGTGTGTTTTAGTGGTAATGTTTTGAGGCTAATGTGACTAGCACTAGTCTTTCTAATAAGAGGCTCACCTTTATCAAGTCTTATTACAGCCTCACTCTCGGCCTTTTGGTTGCATTACTTGCTTATGGCTTTTGAGGGCGATTGTCACTAATATCAGAATATCCCAGTAAAATTAGACAGTACACACAGCCACGCACATGGACAAACGTATAAGGCTGTGAAATCCATACATACATACATATATATATATATATGTATATATATCGGATTAGTTGGTGGAGGAACCATTTGTTTTTTCTTGTAAATGGTTTGCATGAACCGCAACTTCTACAAATACGTAAAAGCCAATCTGGCCCTGGCCCTGGCCCTGGCCACCTTACATGCCATATGATGGGAGAGTTCATTGAGTCGTTGAAAACCAAAGCTTCAAGACTAGAGACTGAGAGTGATCAAACCCAATGAGTAAGCAACAAAAACTGAATGGGAAAGAGAATAATGATAAAGAAAACCGTATCATTGTGTTTCCAAGAAACTGGAAAAACGAGAGGAGAATTGAAACAAACCAGACAATGCTTAGAGCTATAGTCAAATGATTTAGGCATTTCAGGAAGTTGTTATACCTAAGAAGCTAAACATACATAAACCCTACAAAAGCAGACATGATAAGTTTGTATTGTGGAGGGGGGGAGAGAGAGGAGATTGACGAGAAGTGACTTTACTCGTCATCCTTGTACGGATACTCCTCGGCCACTTGCTTCAGGAGTTTCACTTGTAACTCATAAGCATCATCCCCTCGTAGAACATCACGGATCCATGTTACTTCTGTCTTCATTGAGACCTGCCCATGAAAAATGACAAGTAGGGTGAGGGTTGTCTCCAGCACAAGAAGCAAATATATAGTATAAGAACACGAGCTCTTTAGTTGATATGAGCATCAAAGCATCAAAGGGTATCGATAATTTAACTCGATACGAATTTCTTGTCAAGAAACGAAGTTCAGACACTGAACAGCAGGGGCCACATGCTTCTAAGAAGCATAGACGTGAAATTCGCTTAAGATGAAGATGTGAAAACAATAACAATGACCAAAGTAGAGGACAAAAAGAAACAGGGACTGACCATCTCGAGTGCTCCTCTAACGACTCCACTTAAGATGTTGCAGTAGTAAAGACCTTGACATGTATCAGGCAGCTCCACAAAGTCCACGACAGGATTGTCCTCCAATATTATACTGCAACAAGTTCCATCTGCATCCCAGTTCGTCACTGACGCAGTCACCCCCAAGAACATTTTGAATCCCACCTGCAATGCAAGTCTTTCAATAACCAGAAATTGTGGAAACAACATATGGCAAGCTCTTGGACATGTTCGTGATGGGAATGGATTACGAAGTTGCCCAGTTTGGGAAAATGGGTCAAATGCATGGAAGAATACCCTCAAGATGCACAAAGATGTGCGGCCATTAATGTTCAGCTAAGCTCAATAGACAAATTCTTTCCATCAGTACATGGAGTCCACCACCAGTAACCGAGATAAGAAACTTTGAAAATGTGAACTTACAGCACCAGACAGCATTAAAAACAAACCTTTGCGATTACTTCAGCTGTCTCCTTGAAGTCAACACATCTGGATACACCCGATTTTGCTAGAAACTCATCGATCAGTCGGATCCCAATATTGTATCCCCTGAAGAGCATAGAAGAATGCAGATATTAGACGTTCACAAAGATATAAAGGCTATACAACCACAATACACACACATGGAAGAGGAGTGTTTCTTGGTTCTCTCCCAGCCATAGACTTGATCCAGGGGGGCTAGAAACTCTAAATTACAGAACTAAACAGATAAAAAGAAAAAGAAAATGGAGACATGATGTTAAATAATTCAAGCTAGCCAGTTGAAAAATACAACCTTTGAGGGAAATCAGAACACCAAAACCAAAATCACATTAAAAGAAGAACAGGCATAAAGCAATGGGAAGCATACAAAAACTATACATTTGATCAAGCTGTTTGTTGACTTCTTCGACTTCCTCCAGGTCCGTAAGCAATTGACGCACAATTGCACCATAAGTCAGTGTGAATAACTCCGAGTTCTACAACAATTGAAATTCCAAAGGATTAACAACACCTCCACGACGCAATTTAATCACAGCTTAGTGGAGATCGTCTCAATTATGGACATTAGAAATGGAGAATCAACTCAAAAGATAAAAACCCGATGATCTTTCAGTAACATGATAACCTAAAAAAACGAAGCATGAGTGCTTCATTCAGATCGAAAACGAAGCGGAACCATTTCAGGAAACCCCTAAACAGAAAGAAGATATCTATAGATCAGACTTACAACGCGCTCGATGCTGGAGAAGATTGCATCACCAGATCGAGGACCAGCCGGCGCCATCTCCCAGAATTGCGAACAGGAAGATTATTTTCTCTCCTCGATCTGATTTTCCCAGGAATCTGCGCTACAGTCTCATTTCTCGTCGGAGCAAGAAGGGGGAGAGAGAGAGAGGAGATGGTAGATGGACCATTTGGGCCCATAAATAGAACATTCAAAGCCCATTAACGTTAAGGTTCCTTTGGTTTTTCAAACGTGCACTTACACCCTCCAACTTACAAGCAATTCTAAATTGGATGCAAACTTTTGTTTGAATTAATCAAACCCACAATTTCTTCACTGCCATCCTCTGAGGATCGTCGTTTGCGAGATTCAGTTGAATTTATAATGTTCAATAAGAAAAGCTTGAATTTTTAGCTATATTTTGATCTGGGTTTTCCAGAAATCCGATCGCTTTTTTCCAATTGAACTTGAATCGCTTCCTGTTTGTTTCCCGAGAAAGCTCACGTCCAAGACAACGTGAAGAAGAAAAAGAAATTCGAACAGTAGAATCACTATAAGAAGAAGAAATACATATCCCAGAATCCGACATCCATAGACGCTCCTAATGTTCTGATCATGATAGAAACAAGCTGGCAGCTATACAGATTACAACATGTCTACTCTCCTGTTAGGGCTCATCATCAAGTGGGTACAAACATAACTTAGTAAAAAAACCAATCTTTTCGGCTCCCCAGTATCATCCGAGGCTTAAGCGATAATCCAAAGGCCTGAGGTTAGTTTGACGGCGAGGAGTTCCGATCTCGCAGGCGTTCACTCTTGATGCGAAACGAAGCGAGCAGAGAGACTCGCCCGTTGAGGAAGGTTCAGGTGAGATGTTCACGAACATTAGCGTCTTCGAGTCGCCGCCTAGACAGGGCTGGTTCAAGAATCACGTGGTTTTAACTCCATTGTTGCTTAGCAGACAAAACACTCACTACCTCATCTGGGTTCTTGGTTTTGCAGATAGTGTCTTCCAACAGCAAGGAAGTTCAAGAAAATATGCAGAGGATGAAGGATTCGTTTGAGTGATGACTTACCTGAAGAAGATAAGTGAGCTTCGAGTTTCTGAACGGTACATGATCTTCTCTTTTCGCCAATGCAAATATGACATCTCCCAAGGATGACAAGCTTCTGTTGATTGCCTGAACAGATTTCAGGTGAGAAACAAGAAAGAAAGTTAAGCTAAAATGCCATAAATAAATCTTGTATAATGTTTCTGAAGAACGTGTCTTGACGATGTACTTGAGTTTCTTTAAGTCTGTCCCCAGTTGATCCACTCTTTGAGAGACGCTCGCTGCCAGCAAGATCAATTAGATTCAGGACACCTTGTACTTGTTGTTCTGTGTTCTGTTATGAAGCCAAGTTGAATGGAATTGATTAGACAGGTATAAATATCAAGCCATCAGATATTGTTTGTGCAGAGGAAGCATATAAGACGAGTAATACCTCGTTGATACCGGAGATTCTTAGCGTGAAAACAAAATGGCTTCTCGATGACTGCTCATTCATCTGGGTCTTCCCCACCGATCTGGACAAAACGAAAAAATCATTCAAAAACTTTTTTTGGGAAACCCATTAGGGTCATTCATAGCCCTGGCGTGATTCTATTTGCATGGTGCTTAGATATTTTTACCTGTTACGAGCAGCGTGATCTAAGAGGAATGTAACCTCTCGGGTGCTTCTAACGTCTAAAACATTAAGATCCGATACATGTGTGCAGCCATTGGCATCATGTTTGATAGAATACTTCTGCGGGGAAATCCCATTGTCTGCTCGCGCTGCTTCCTTGTTTTTTGACAAGAGATCCCGGATTGTTTCATTGTATATTTCCAACATCGACACCTATGTAAATCCATTATATATCGCGCACTTGACGTCACCAGGAGATATCTTCTTCTTGTCAAGACTTGGAGATCTTATATTTAGTTTTACTTCTTACCTGCATCTCGTACTTCCAACCCTGAGATCGAAGAGACTGCTTAGTTTGAAATATTTGCTCCAAACATCGTGGTATCAGTCCTTTTTCCTCTGGATTCCCCGGCTTTCCCATCATCGTGTAAGTTTTTCCAGATCCCGTTTGTCCATACGCGAAAATACACACCTGTAGAAACTTGTCGGTTTCAGTCCAAGAAACAGCGAAATGTGGCACACCATTCAACGTTTACCCTCGTCTATTATTACCGTTAGCAGCCGAGTAATTGATAGTTTCACCATATTGCTCATCAAATCGGAAGAAACAACCATAAGAAATCAACAGAAAAGGATCATATATATCTGTTGTTTGGTGCATTGGATTACCTTGTAACCATCAAGAGCGCTCTGAACGAGTTGAGATATCTCTACAAAGACTTCCTCTTGTGATGCACGATGTGCAAAAACCTTATCAAATGTGAAAGAGTGATTTTGCCCTGACCATAAAAAAAACGCCAAGTTGAGTCCTTTTTCTTGGCATAATCCATCCTTTCTGTGAGAACTACATTTACAGAACATTTGTCCGTACCATTTTGCACTAAATCAACTCCCCGACCAAGTTCCTCTAAAGACGTCGGGTAGGAAATAGCTTTCCCCTCGTCACTAGAACTCTCTCCGGGTAATAGAGGTCTTACCCTACAGAATACCCGGATGTTGCCCTTCAATTCCTGTGATATAAATGCACCAGAATCTGTCAAGCTTTACACAGACTGAATACCCGGAGGCAGAGAAGTGTAGGG